CATTTATGGGCGGCCCCAAGGCCAAATTCGTTTTTTTCGGTAAAGTCACTTTACCGAAAAAACCTAAGAATATGAATCCTTGCAGTCACGAAAGCTTCAAATCTAGAAACGGCAGTCATCGTTGTTGGGCACATCAATGTGCGGAATTCCGCATTCCGGATAACACATCAGGAGTGTACCTGTTCCGTACATCGAGGGATGCGACATTGAATCCCAACGACCAAAGCAAACAACCTGTCATGTGCCAGACATGTATTTCACTACATGAAATGATGTTCACGTGTGTGCATGTATAAACCATAGGCATAGTAACAACAGTCCACAACTTGAAATCGTAGGGCATTTGTTTGGTTAACTTAAGCACATGAATTAAGCGCTTGACTGGTAAAGAACTTATCAATGGAAATAAGCCCCTTGGGGCAATCAAGAGAACATCATCATTGACAATTAGTGTAGTAACAGCAGAGCTTCCCCTCCTGCACGGTTGAGTCAAGACCACAAGTCGCACACAAACACACGCCGCTGGAGTGCGGCAAAAGGAGCAGCCGAAAATCGCTGCAGACTTCGGAATCATTGTTTAGTTAACTAATTAATTGCCCGCTTATGTAATTGTAATTACATTTCATTGCAAATTTGATTTTGCAAGTGTATTGTGTGCACAACATACGTAACCCAGTGTTTACGCTTTTTTAAAGTGGTTATGCTTAAGGAGCAAATGTGGCGCGTTTAAACGCGTTACCATTCATCGTTCACAATGCACTCGGGCATTGCACCTGGGTGTGTCGCCACCTTGAGCAAATGTCACGTACTGCAAGTGCACTACTTTACATTATCCGTTTGTTCTTTGAAAAAGGGCCATAGCCCAGAACGTCGCCTAGAATAGATTGTTTTCCTCTTTAAACATTGATATTGACAAACGTGTTGAGGTTGTCTTTCATATTACACCATCAGCCATGGTCAATCCACTGCTGAATTAAGGGCTCACATAAGCCCGACAAAATCCCGAAATCCAGTGACGTGACCAAGCATATCCAGCACGGACCTTAGGGGCCGTCCATAAATGACGTCACGCGATTTTGGACGATTTTTGACCCCCTCTCCCTCGTCACACGACGTCACAAAAAGTCAGACCCCCTCCTAAAATATGACGTCACAAAGCTCTGCCCCCCCTCCCAAAAATAAAACATGCTTCAAATCGCATTAAACTATCGTCATTGTAGTGCGTATTTAATGTGGCGCTACACTCTGATGTTGTAGGAGCAAACATGTATTAAAACGTGTATTTAATTAAGTAGAACGTGTTGTCTATATTTATTTAAAGTTGATAATTGGTTCTTTACCCTTCTATCTGGCAACAAAACTGACACCTTTTTTGTTGTGCAAAGTTGTGCATTTTGATGTGACGTCACATTTCTCACCCACCCCCCCTCGTCACACATCGTCACAAATGTATGACCCCCCCCCCAGGTGCGTGACATTCCATCGATCATCTGATTGGACGGACTCCCGGATGCGTTCAATCCCTTGACTGTCACCGTGGATGATGTCATCGGGATTTGAAGTGACTCAGGACAGGGGGGGTGGGGTGTGGTGTCAGGCTCGGCTACGATCTGGGGACCCAACTTCACGGGCTGGCGACAACCACGTGGGCAATGCACTCACTGCCTCACATTCAGGTGACCACAGCAAGCTACTCGAGTTGCATAGCACGGGTACTCGACGAAACAATCTTGAAGGATTATCGACCAAAGTGCTGCATAGTTCGTGTGTTTTAACCTACGAACACTCGGAGTATGAAGAACCATTAATTAATAATAGAGGTTTTTTGGGTTAGATCGCGTAAATATATCAATGTGTCGTTAAACCCGTCACCACGCAACACAGCCAATTAGTAAGATTTGTAAATAAAATATGCGAATTAGTTACAAGTACAGCACACCGGTGTGTTGGAGAGTAAACCCACAACATTTACAATTGGAGTACGACGTTTCGCCAGTAATTACAACTAGCGTCATCAGGCGACAGCCAGATTTGTGAAGAAGCCCTCCGGTTTCGTTCTTAAACAGAGAGATAGATGTAATGTCGTCACTTGTGAACCAGTCAGGTGCGAAGTCCAGAGGGGGGCGTTATGTATGCAATGGATATCCATTACCGGTTGGTTTAATTGTCCAATAACACCTGAATATCGATTTAAAGCTTTCGTGACTGCAGGGATTCATCTTCTTGGTTCTTTCGGTAAAGTCACGTAGAATTGAAATAATAAAATAATAAAAATAAAACATAATAAAATGATTCTCACGACGTTTCCGCCACAACGCAAGCAGCCGTCCTCAGGTGGAGTCTGAATGACACACCCCAGGCTCCAAGTCTGGGGTGTGTCATTCAGACTCTGTCTTCTCGACAGACCTGTTCTCCACCTGAGGACGGCTGCTTGCGTTGTGGCCGAAACGTCGTGAGAATCATTTTATAATGTTTATTTTTATTATTTTATTATTTCCATTCTACGTGACTTTACCGAAAGAACCAAGAAGATGAACACCTGAATATATGCAGAACTGTAGAGCTTGGAGGAGAATTTGGCGTCGGCTCACCAAGTTGTTGCTGCTTCCCGCTTATCTGTGGTTCTTTCGAGAGCTTGTGTCGTTCTCTCTCTCTGTAAGCGAATGCTGCGCACGTTATAAGTACATTTAACACGCGTATTTAAATGTAGCTAAGTGCGTGAACTATGAGCGTGATTTATAATTACAGTAATCGTTCAAATGAGCATTGCTTCTTTGGAATGCACGCTTAATGCGTCAACACCGAAACTGCTTGGAGCACAACATTATTAAAGGCTAACAACCTTAAACATTGACGGTCGCACCACACTCATACATAGACCGTAAATAATTAACGCGATTATACATTGCTGCGCTACGTGCTGCCACACTAATTACTCTAGGCTAACTAACCCCGCATTTAAATCGTAATCACTATTAACCAAGCACTGATGTGTTTAACAACAAAAAACGACTGTACACAGCTAGACCCTTTTTAAATCCTTTATATTAAGTTCGCTTGCTTGCTTGCTTAGGACCGTGCACATTTTTCGGTCGTTTTTTAACCCACTTCCCGTGATCCAATCGAGCTGACATTTTCCACACAGACTCGTTGTGCGTGACAATTAATGTTCGTGAAAATTTTTTTCAAAAATTTTACACTTTTTAGGACAAAAATATTATATTTAATTACCAATTGCTTAATGCTGCCATGCAATCATTTGACCCATAGGTGGCAGCCATCTCAAGCCAGATGACTCTAGCCGCCACGCATATAAAGGATTTATAGTGAAAAACTTTGTTTTTACGGGTTAATTTTTTAACGTTTGAGTTTGTACGGTTGTCTTATCACAACTTATCAGCGTGGCGAGGCCGGCCCGAAGGGTGCATGCATACGCTTGAGTGCCGGGCGGCGTGCGTGCGTGAGTGAGTGCGTGAGGAGTGTGAGCGAGTTGAAGTTGCATGCGAACCTTGGATGCGCAAGAGGTTACGTGTTCGGCAAGGACGTAGCCATGGAGGCAACATTGGGGGGGGACCAAATCTTCAAGGGGGTCCGGGGGTCCACCGCCAGAAAAATAATAATCTAAATTTGAAAACGAATTTCCTGCTATTTCCTGCCTAGAATATAAAAAAAATTCACTAACACATAGGATGGACTTTATCTTGTACAACAATGTCTAATAGTGTATTGTATTACATTGCTCTGTTTTTTCTTTTTTACCTATTCTTGTTTCATTGTATGTAAATGGCAGAGATTAGGGATTAATAAAGTACAACCATAACCATAATAATATAAACAGAAATCTATTTAATAGCAATATATTGGGGGGGACATTTTGAGCATATTTGAATATGGGGGGGGGGGGAGATGTGTCCCCCCAATATGTATTACAATTACGACCTTGGTGTTCGGTATGTGCACGGGATGCCGGGGAGGTACAGAAGGGTGGCCCCGGGATGTGCTGGGATGTACAGGGAGTTTCTCAAGACAGTACGTGCACAGGGTGATGCAAGTCTGTGCAGTAACTTCGGTGTACAGAGCGAGGTACTGGATCCAAGTGCCGTACTGAGAGTGGGGTGACAGAGAGGCGCTTCATGATTCCCTTGGATATGGCGCAGAGGGGTGCAGGAGGGAGGCACTGAGTCGGCCTTGGGAAGACGATTACAATGTAGTGGAGCGTGACTATCTGGAGAGGCAAAGTGGATCTCGCGGTGCAGGTAAATGTGAAGTAGTGGGGAAGCGCCTGTGTGTAGAGGGTGCAGGGAATGAGCTACTCAAAGGTGCCAGGGTACGCGCCTCGGAGGCCGTCCATAAATGACGTCACGCACCTAGGGGGGGGGGGGTCAGACATTTGTGACGATGTGTGACGAGGGGGGGGGGTGAGAAATGTGACGTTACATCAAAACGCGCAACTTTAAATAAATATAGACAACACGTTCTACTTAATTAAATATACTTGTTGATGTTTTCTCCTACAACATCAGAGTGCAGCGGCACATTAAATACGAACTACAATTACAATAGTTTAAAGCGATTTAAAGCATGTTTAATTTTTGGGGGGCGGGGGCAGAGCTTTGTGACGTCATATTTGAAGTGGGGTCTGACTTTTTGTGACGCCGTGTGACAATGTGGTGGGGGGGGGGGGGTCAAAAATTGTCCAAAATCGCGTGACCTCATTTATGGACGGCCCCAAAGTGACCGACTGGGAGACGCAGGGGAGCTGGTGGTAGGACGTGCTGGGGGGGGGGTGGTGGTACCCGGTGATCATCGGCGGCGTGGCTGTGCTCCGTGCGGTGCCAGGGAGTTGCCAGGCTACGTGTCCGCAAAATGCGCAGGCGGCGGCGACGGGGGGGTGGAGGGGGTAAGAGGAGGGTGCAGGGAGGCGGCTGGGAGCCCGGGGTGGGTGGGGTGGGTGGGGCGAGTGGGGCGCGGGGCTGGGTGCGAAGCGCAGACCCCGTGGCCTCCTCCCCCCACCCCCCAAACGAGGGCAGGCGACACGGGAGCCTTTGAGTTTCGCGGATCAGACACAAACAGCCCCTTTGGGGATTCCGAGAGATTTTCCGCCTACGACGGGGATTTAGTTTCCTTTCTTCGCGCTTTCAGAACGCGGGACGAGACCGCGGGGAAAACAAAACGTACAGTGCCACATTGCGCACGATGCCGAGGGTTTAGTGGAACTCCTCTGCTCGCTTTCGCAAACAACTGAACGAGTGGTCTTTCGAAGCTGTCGGTTCAACCCCGACGACGACGACGCATTCCTTTGTTGCTGCGCGCTGAGTCGTCGTGGGGTGCCCGTGCCCGGCGTGGGGAGGCTGCGGGTGACGCAGAGTTTATTCCTGCCCGCTGGTCCTCCTCCTCTCTGCAGGTGTTGCCTGCTGCTTCGGTCTGCTGCTGTTGGATGTCCTGCACCTTCTTGAAGTTGTTGCCGCTACTGACGCCGACGGCAGAATTTCTACCGCCACTGCCGGCCAACCACAACACCACCACCACGACCACCACGACGACCACCACGACCCGCTAGCAGCTCCCGTCGTGTCGCCACGCTCCGAGCCGCCCGCCCGTCCATCAGCCCCGTCTGCCAGCAGTGTCCCGCGCCCTCGTTCGGAACCGACACCGCCGCGCTGTCTCTTCCACCACCACTGGGTTGAGTGAAAGAAAGAGTAGTGGGTGGGTGGTGGTTGGTGGGTGTTTGTGAGAGCGGAAGAATAGGAAGACGCGGAGACATTCGCGCGCGCGTGTGTGCGTGCGTGCGCGTCTCCCCCTCCTCCTCTTCCACCACCACCCACAACTCCACCCGCAACTCCACCCGCTGCAAACGCCGCGATGCTCAAGTTCCTGCGCCGCACGTTCGGGAGACGTTCGCGCCGCTCGCCGCCCGTGGTGGAGCGCGACTCGCAGCGCGCCCAGGTGCACATCCCCGCCGCCGCAGGAGCCGGCCGCTCCTCCACGCTCACCTGCCGCGTGGCGCTTCTCGACGGCGGCGACGTCAGCGTCGACCTGAGCGTGAGTGCGGTGGTGGCGGTGGATGTGGCGGTAGTGGTGGTGGCGGTGGTGGCGGTGGTGGTGGCGATCAAGAGGGCATGGGATGGGGGGGGGCAGAGAGGGCACGGGATGGGGGGGGGGAGAGAGGGCACGGGATGGGGGGAGCAGAGAGGGCACGGGATGGGGGGGGCAGAGAGGGCACGGGATGGGGGGGGGGAGAGAGGGCACGGGATGGGGGGGGCAGAGAGGGCACGGGATGGGGGGGGGAGAGAGGGCACGGGGGGGGGCAGAGAGGGCACGGGGGGGGGGCAGAGAGGGCACGGGATGGGGGGGACAGAGAGGGCACGGGATGGGGGGGGCAGAGAGGGCACGGGGGGGGGCAGAGAGGGCACGGGGGGGGGGCAGAGAGGGCACGGGGGGGGGGGGGCAGAGAGGGGCACGAGATGGGGGGGACAGAGAGGGCACGGGATGGGGGGGGCAGAGAGGGCACGGGGGGGGGGCAGAGAGGGCACGGGAGGGGGGGGCAAGAGAGGGCACGGGATGGGGGGGGGCAGAGAGGGCACGGGATGGGGGGGGGGCAGAGAGGGCACGGGATGGGGGGGCAGAGAGGGCACGGGGGGGGGGGACAGAGAGGGCACGGGATGGGGGGGGCAGAGAAGGGCACGGGGGGGGGGGGCAGAGAGGGCACGGGATGGGGGGGCAGAGAGGGCACGGGATGGGGGGGGGCAGAGAGGGCACGGGATGGGGGGGGGCAGAGAGGGCACGGGGGGGGCAGAGAGGGCACGGGATGGGGGGGACAGAGAGGGCACGGGGGGGGGGCAGAGAGGGCACGGGGGGGGGGACAGAGAGGGCACGGGATGGGGGGGCAGAGAGGGCACGGGGGGGGCAGAGAGGGCACGGGATGGGGGGGGCAGAGAGGGCACGGGATGGGGGGGGGGAGCGAGGGCACGGGATGGGGGGGGGCAGAGAGGGCACGGGGGGGGCAGAGAGGGCACGGGATGGGGGGGACAGAGAGGGCACGGGGGGGGGCAGAGAGGGCACGGGGGGGGGGCAGAGAGGGCACGGGATGGGGGGGGGCAGAGAGGGCACGGGATGGGGGGGGGGACAGAGAGGGCACGGGATGGGGGGGGGGAGAGAGGGCACGGGAGGGGGGGCAGAGAGGGCACGGGGGGGGGCAGAGAGGGCACGGGGGGGGCAGAGAGGGCACGGGATGGGGGGGGGGGCAGAGAGGGCACGGGATGGGGGGGGGCAGAGAGGGCACGGGGGGGGGCAGAGAGGGCACGGGATGGGGGGGGGCAGAGAGGGCACGGGGGGGCAGAGAGGGCACGGGGGGGGGCAGAGAGGGCACGGGGGGGGCAGAGAGGGCACGGGATGGGGGGGGGGGCAGAGAGGGCACGGGGGGGGGCAGAGAGGGCACGGGGGGGGCAGAGAGGGCACGGGATGGGGGGGGGCAGAGAGGGCACGGGGGGGGGGCAGAGAGGGCACGGGGGGGGGGCAGAGAGGGCACGGGGGGGGCAGAGAGGGCACGGGATGGGGGGGGTCAGAGAGGGCACGGGGTGGCAGAGAGGGCACGGGGGGGGGGCAGAGAGGGCACGGGGGGGGCAGAGAGGGCACGGGATGGGGGGGGCAGAGAGGGCACGGGGGGGGCAGAGAGGGCACGGGGGGGGCAGAGAGGGCACGGGGGGGGGGCAGAGAGGGCACGGGGGGGGGGGTCCGGGAAGCTTTCAAAGAAGAAGAGGAGACATTTGGGGGGCTGGGGGTGGTTGTGTTTTTTGAGCAAATAGTTTGAGGGAGCCGCATCACACGCAGAGCTACTTGTGCGCCAACACAGTCACGTGGGAGCGGACGAGAAGCGCATTCTTAAGCTAACGAAATAGATGATGGCATAACTGCGTCTAATTAATCCCCCCCCCCTTTAGTTATTCTTTAACAATACAGTTTGATTGTACATTCTGCGGTCACTAAGACATTCCAGAGTGACCCATTGCCTGCCATATTTATTAAATTATCTTTACGTTAAATTACGTTTAAGATTTAAGTAATAAAAAAAATTGCTGCCCGCAGCGAGAGGGTTTGGGGGGGCAGACAAAGATCCGCAGGTTGACGACCCCTGATCTCGAGAGAGCCTCACCTCTTGTCAAAGTTGTGTGCCCAAAAACAGCGGGTTCGGAGCGCAAGTTCGCTCCCTCCCTGCCTCCCTTCGTCCGTTCCATTCCTCACCCGTCTAGAGGTCGCTGGTTCGACCTCCCGTGGCGGCAACTGAACCAATGAGCAACTTTCTTAATTCGTCCTCCACCGCAAGACCCTCTACTTAAGAAGTATAAATCAATACGCCACGGTTAAGTCGACGAGCAGGTCACGGGGTAAAGTGTGGGTATGCTCACGTGTATGTATGTTGCCTTCTTTCGCACCGTACGTCGCCAACCGGAGGTGCGCGGGAAGGACATCTGTCCAGCGTGGAAGAGTAGGCCAAGTACGCTCTAAAGGGGATCTACAGAGCTCCCTCTAGCGGAGGCCCTTTCACCAGCAGTGGTGCGAACAAGACATTGCAGAGCTGCGCCTTCAGCTTTCTACCACATTCCATGCCGGGTGCTTTGAGCCATGACTCGGCGAGGTGCTTTCCTCAACGGTGTTTTTTTTTAGGTGACGTCTAAATGTACAGTTTCATCTCGTATCGAGGGCTCATTTCAATGTTGTTGACACCTTAGCCATCAATGGGCATCCAGAACCCAAACCATAGACACCTGTACCGGAACACGAACCCTAAGTCCACCCTGGCACCTGAGCTGAAACATTAACACCATAATAACCCTGCATAGGAAAACAAAACGGGGGTAATAAAACAAACCGTAACATCCACATGGTCACCTGCGCCCCTTACCATATCCCCAACCACATACTGGCACACAAATTCAAACCCTCACGTTCACGTCGAAATCCTTCAATGAATTCTGGACCCAAATCTGCACAATCACCTGTACCAGATGTGATACAAGGGCACATGCACATACACAGGGGCACCTAGTGTGTGTATACCATGTGAATCGCTGCGGCATGTGGCAGTGTGTGGGTTACTACATGTATGGTTGTTAATGCTTTGTAGTATATTCTGGGAGTGGTGGAGAGTTGATTTCCAGCCTGTGTTGAGCAAGAGGCCTTTGAAAAGTTTACCTTGGTCGGGGGCCTCTTATGTGGACTCAGCCTACAGTAATACCTGGTGGAGTATTGTGAACATCAGTAGGGAGACAAAGGCAGCCCAACGTCTAGAAATACTTGGCTCCTGTATGGCTAAACACGGGGGGTATGTGCATTCACATGGTATACTATACAAAGGTTACGTTTTACAGCCCAAAATGTAACAAATCATGATGTGATGGAATTATGATATGATGCCCTGAGACAGGAATGTCTTCTGGTCAAGAAGTAACCTTGGTCTATTTGGCTCACGGCAGTTGCGTTATTTCAAACCTCGTTATTAAAAGAGACCACAGATGGAATGTAGTCCCTGACTCATTGTAATTTACGCCCTGCTGATAATCTTATGCTGGCGTATGGCAGGATTATGTATATGAACAGCTACATTTAAATATTGAGGTTTGTGAGCCATATATATAACGGCTTCTGGTGTAGTTTCGTTGATTCACTCAAGGTTTCCTGTAAAGTATCACTGATAATGAAGATATATATTCTGCTCGCATATTAACCACGTCTCTAACTTGTAGCACATCTACCACCTTTGCCTTTCTCAGTGACCCCATACACCGCTTTGAGCCTTGACTGTATTTCCTCACTCTGGCAGCCTCTCAGTATCAGACAGGTGACAGATTTATAGGGCCCATTCATATACCAGTGAATAACGTCTTCCCAACTGCATATTTGCCAACTCTGGTTCGTAAAAGACTGTGTCCGTTTTCATTTTGCATGTGGCTGAGTTGAGCTGCTCTCTGTCAATCGTTTCATTTGTTGGAGACACTTCTAATACGACTACAGGATTGAAATGCGGTGCAGTGCAGTAGGTCTGAGCTCGAGCAAAAAAGAACTGGACTTCTCAGTAAACCTCGCCGGAAAACATCACTTGTTCAGAGTTATCCCAGCAGTATCAGTTTGACCCAATGCTCATGTCTAATAATTTTTAAAGTACACATTATTTAAAATAGCATAATAAGTTATTTCACTTAATATCTTATATTTAAAATAATGCATTTTATTTTATTATTGAAATCCTCATGGAAGGCATGCTCTTTAAAGTCATGCTGCAACAATTTCCGGCATGTCTGTGCGGTGAGGGGACATCGCCATGCAATTCTCTGTTGCTCTCCTAGCTCTGCACTTTATCACTGATTGTCCATTATGCCACTTCTTCTAGGCGCCATCTCTTCTCGCCGCTAACTCCGTACCAAAGAGCCGCCCCTGGTTATCCCTCGAGCCATATCCTAAGCAGGTTCTCGTCAGCCACGGTCTCTGTGACCGCTCCTGATCTCTTTATCTCTGCAAGAGAGCAGGCTTAACTGACGGGTACAGTACAGCACTGTAACGTTTTTGTAGGGGGTTTACTGCAACAAAACACTGCATCAGGCCACAACTAGTTTTAAAGTTCCTCGTCTGTGTTGTTTCAGCCTTTTAAACCTCGTGAGATTAACGATTCCAAAGTGGACGACAATGGGTTACGAACAGGCATTTCATCATTGCAGACAAGTGTTATAGATATTCCAATTCGTTTACTGGTTAATGGAATTATTATAAATAATTGTACACGCAAGCCTGGGACATTTATTTAATAGTTGACTCAAAGTAAGACCCCACCCCGTCTCTGTCCACCCAGCATGAGAAATGTTTACACCAGAGTCCATCAGTAAGTTGCGTGTGGTCAGACAAGGTGTGGGTCCTCCCACCCCTTCCAAGACCTCTAGCCAGTGTGGAAGAGTAGGCCAAAATACTCTATAACTTCCTCTATTTGAGGCTCTTCTGTCGGCAGTGGCATGAGCAAGTAATTGCAGGGCTGTACCTTAACCTTTTATTTA